AATAAATGTTAAGGGATGAAATCAATCAATTTAATTCAATTTAAAAATAAAATTCCTTCAAAAAAGCTAAATTCAATGAAAACAAAAACAAAACAAAAACCAAGACAACTCGTGTTATCAAGAAAATTAAAAAATATGATAGAAGATGAATTAAAAAATAACAAAATACTAGAAATTGGGAAAAAAAAAGAAGGAAAGAAAACAAAGAAACTTGTTTCAGTTTTGTAAACTTCAGTTAATCTCTTACACTTACAAATTATTAAATTATAGACCCAGACTCAACTGAAAAGCCAAACACTTAGCTAATTAAATGTTGAAGGATAGGATAAAAAAATTAATCTAAAAAAATATTGTAAGGTCAAAAAATACAATAATAAAAAAGGATTTGATTTGATAGGAAAATAACTAAAGAATGATGAAATTGCAAAAACCATCTAAAATAAAATAAAAACAAAAACAAAATCTAATAGATAAAAACATTGATTGGAGATGAAATTGAAAAAAATTCTAAATTTAATAAATTATTCTAAATAAGAAAATTGCAACAAAGAGAAAATTGATGAAATTGAAAAAACCTTTTAATATCAAAAAGTAATCCAAATTTAAAAAATTATAATAAAGAGAATAGAGATGAAATCTTAAGTGCAACAAACTTTAGGGTTAAATTCTTTTTTTTTTTAATTCGAGCATGAAAATTGGGTAAGAGAGAGGGAATAGAAAAAAAAAATACCACACGCGCCAAATCAACTGTCATAGTGCTACATGCATTGTTGATACGTAAAGAGAACGCTAAGATATTTTGGAAGCCATCCTGAAATCATGGTTTTGGCCACTAGATAGTACTGCACATGTTTTTTGAAGACGACTAATGTTATTGACTCGATTATTTTTTTAAATTAATTTTTTAAAATCACCCTATTATCTTATAACTACCAAATTACCACATTTAAATAATAAAAAAGATTCGAAGTCAAAAATAATTATTTTTAATTTTCAAAGACAATGAAGTAATTTACTTGTTTAAAACTCAAGTCAAAGAATAAAAACTCCGGTGATCCAAGTGATTTTTTTAATCTTTCATGTGCAATTAAATAATCATACTAGGCAAAGAAAATACAAAAATACTATCTAGCCCTCTCTTTCAAGTAATGTGTCTCATGAAAAATATCGTCATACCAGCATAAATCCAAGGTATGCTACTTTGCTTATCAAGAGATAAAATCAGCTTTTTATAGTGTGAATCCACAGTAAAGATCGATGTCTTGTAGTATAGAGTAAGTATGATTTATTAATGCGTTAGTTTCTCCTCTTTTTTTTTTTAAATTTAAAAATACACTAAATCAAACAAGTGATGATGGGGTCTGCGTATAAATATTAATCATGTTGATCACCAGTAATCATTTTGCCCATTGAGCTCCACAGATTAGCCAAAGAAAAGCATGATGAACAAATAAATATCAATAAATGAATCGATAAATTTAATTACTGCTGCAAACACCACCCAACATGCATTCATATCATCGAAGATTGTTTTGCATTGTCAGCTATAAATTATGGATATGATATTTTAAAGAACATGCAATTGGCTTCTATATTAGGTATGTGTGGCGAAGAGCTTTTTGTCATTCACTGAAATATTTCAAATCCAAGATCAGTTTTGTGGTGAAGAGTGCTTTGTTTGGGTTTGAGAGTTTACGTGTGGGGACGTTAGCCAAGTGCTTGTGTACGTGTACACGTGTATAAATACGTATATTATACGTATATTATATGCATACCTAATTGATGCCATATATACTTCTTCTTGGGATACGCATGCCACCTCTATGTAATATTTAGAATTGTTCATGCAAAGATCCTCTCCCTTGACTAATTCGAGTAGAAATTCCGTGGGAGTCGCTGTGTTATGATTTTGAAACTTGTTATTGTAAAGATGGAATTTTTATTTATTTTTATGTTTTAAAAGTGTTTTTTAAAAAAAATTTATTTTTTCTTTACTTTAAATTAATTTTACGAAAGTCAACAAACTTTGGTTGAAATAATGGAAATAATTTACTCAAAACGGTTTAGAGAAGTAAACGACATGTCAGATCATGTTTCCCCTCCCGCCCCGTGGCATTGGCGAAAGAAAAGCCCACCATCAAACATCACTTAGCTCCGGGCTTTACGAACCTGAAATCGAGTACATAATCAAGCCCAAGTGCTCTTAAAACCACGAGCCTCACTCAGTCCAGAACTACAACTTAAGCCCAGCCTAAACCTTTCTAATTTATTTATTTATTTACTAGACATGTTGCTCTGGGTTGCCACAGGCTAAAAAACAAATTTAAGCAAAAGAAGTGATAGGCTGGAAAAAATTCAAGTTTCAAGTAATTTGGTATATTGACAATTTAAATATTTATAGAAAAAAATAATACTAACTAAACTAACAAACAAGCAACAAAAAAAATTATTAACAAAAAGACTTGCAAAAGAAAATAATAGCATAAAAAATAGGATTAAAATCTTAGGAAAAAACTCAATAAGGAGGAAATATAAAAAACATTATTGCAAGCAAAACAAAATTGTAATTAAAATAACTAGAACCAAACTTAAAATATTAAAAAATCAAACAGGGTCAAATTAAAAATTATTTATAATATGATAGATTATTTATGGATTAAAAAATGGTAAGGATGAAATAAAAAAAAATATCAAGGGCTAACCAAATAGAATTAAATAATTCTATCTAATTAAAAATTATTTGTAATATGATAGATTATTTATGGATTAAAAAATGGTAAGGATGAAATTTTTTATCTAGATTCAATCAAAAAATATAATTTTCAACTAATTTAATTTTGAAGAATGAGATCTATAGAAAATTATTAATGAAAAAACTTGCACAAAAGAAATGAGGATAAAATTTAATAGAAAAAAATCAAAGGAAGATGCAATTTATTGAAAAAATAAATATTAATTAAAAAATAATGATCAAATTTTAAACATTAAAAAAATCATAGGTGATAAAATTAAAAAAATTTATAAAAATAAAAAAAAAAACCCTAATAAACATCATAAATATGGTCAAATCCTAAAAAGCTTGCAATCTATGAAACTCTAGATCCAAGTCCCATTAAAAAACTTATTATAAGATAATTCTAAAAACTTGTCATGGCAAAAAAAAAAAGATAACAAAAAAGGCCTTAAGTGAACTCAACAACCAACTCAGGTCAACAAATCAAACACATGACCTAGATATAAAATTGAGATGACTCTATAAATAAGAAAGCAAAAAAGAAAACACTAGTAAAAAAAAATGTAAAAAATACTTTAAAAAAGATGAAAGTCAAATTAGGCTAATTATTCAAATTTATTAGCAGGATTATAAGACTAGGGTAACCTCATTAAAGTCAAACTCAAAAAAATAAAAAAATAAAAATTTTAATCAAACAAACATTGAAAGGTGAAATTGAAAAAATAATCAATAGAAGAATTTTTTTTTAATATCAATTAAAAGAATTAGAACTAAATTTAACATAAAAATTAAATGTTTTGGGAAAAATCAAATGAAATTAAATATTTAGAGATGGAATTGTAAGAAACAAATCTATAAAGAAGATGATTAAAAAATAACAATTAAAAGAATTAGGATTAAATTTAATATAAAAATTTAACAAAAATAAATGTTTAGAGATGGAATTAGAAAAAAAAAAACAAATTAATCAAGAAAATGATTCAAAACAAAACAAATAAAAATTTAAAAAATCAATTAATTAGGGATAAAATCAAAAACAAAATCTTCACAGAATTTTTGCAATTTATTTGTTTTTATTTGATAGTTACAACTGTCGGAGTCATCCTCGCGCACCATCAAGAGATGGTTAAATGGCTGAAGCGTGCGAGGCACACACCAACAACTTTTTTGTTTTTTTATGCAAAAATCAAAAATGCACTTAGAACTAAATACTTTTAACAAACAAAACATGGTGAAATTACAACCAAGCCTATGAAGTCAAGGTTAAAAAAATTTAAATTGTAAAGATAATGTAGTAATTCAACTGTTAGATAAAATATGAAAATACAAAATCATTCTTATGCAAAAGTCATTGAATTATTTTATTAAAGGGTGACATTAATAATTTTACTATGCATTACAAAACATATTTTTCAAAATAATTTTACTTAATTCTTAAAAAATATTTATATCATAATGAAAAAACCATCTTACATCTGAAGCAAATCCTAAAGATAAATTCATAAAGAAGCAAAATAATAATTACATTATTATAATAAATAGTAATATATGTCTTGGGTATAATGACATCACTAGGGTTATTAATTTCTTTGGATAATTTAAAGCTAGGTTATTTTAATCTTCATCTTTCTAATATGAAGATTAATTCTTTATGTTATATTTAACTAAAAATAAATTGAAATTTTTGTTTATTACCATAAATAAATTTAACTGAAATAGATAAGATTGAATGTAAATTGAAATTTTTTTTTATTATCTTAAATTTAACTGAAATAGATAAGATTGAATATATATATTTTTAAAAAAAAAACTTTATTAGAATTGATAGATCAATTCCATGATTTGTTGATTTGAAATTTAATGTAGTTAGATTTGATTTTTAATTAATATTTTTTAAAATAATATTATTTTTTTTAGATAATGGTATAGAGTAACATGTTAACATGTTAATTCTTACTCGGATGATAATTCATTTTCATGGATTGAAAGGAGAATACTGCTCAAGTTTCAATTTGAAAATGATAGACAAGTCTTGCCAAGCCTTTGCAAAGTGAGTGGTGACCTAAAAGAAACAACAATGAAGATTCCGCCAACACAATGCCCAAAATACCCTTCACATTAGAGGCCTGAAAACCAAATCCTAAACAATAACCAAGGCAAAATATCACAATTCCACATAGGGTGATTTAGTCAATATACAAAAACCGCCCAGGAAGGCAGTTATATTCCGGTTCCACTTCTCATTAGGTTTAGGAATCTCTTCATAGTTACTTCAAAATCGTAACACATATCGCATAGAACTACTCCCTGTTTTACTGTAATTGAGATTCAAGAGCAAGGAGAAAGACAATGGGAGATTGCAAGCCATTAGGGTTTTTGTTAGGACTTCCCTTTGCATTGCTTGCATTAGTTTTGTCCATTGTTGGTACAGTAATATGGCTCATTGGGTGAGTCCGTTCATTTTCTCTTCTTGTTTTCTTGATTACAATCTCAAGAATTTGATTCCATACCTGTTCATGAACCATGCTAGTTTGATCTACGTCAAGAAAATTGATCATGGCATTGATTTCTTTTTCTCTTTTTCTTGATTTAGTTTGATCTTGACTCTGTCCATTGCCTTTTGCTTGTTTGGTGCCCAGAAAAGTATAATGTATAGTGTTGATTTTTTCAATAAAAAACTGGGCGGTTTTGACTTAAGATTGATTTGAAGAAAACCCAGATGATAATATCATGTTTTTATTTATTTATTTTATAGCAAATAACTATCATTTTTTTGCGTGATTGACACTCTTTTTTTTTAATCTTTTTTGATGTAATGTAGGACAATATTGAGTTGCTTGTGCCCATGTTGTGTATGCTGTGCAGCTCTGGCCAATTTTGCAGTGGATATGGTGCATCTTCCTGTTAGGATACTTGGATGGTTCACTGATCAAATCCCTTGTTAATGCTGCTGCTGCTGATAATTTCTATTTTCTCTTTTTGCTAATTCCATATTCCATCCATAATCTTCTGTTGGAAATTTTTTATGCCCAAATAAACTTTGTAATTCCTCTAATGGTTTGATATATATCTTGTTTATGCTCATTTCGAACTTTGGAATTTACTAATTTATAGATAAATAGTGATAGGAAAAGCTTTTGAAATTCAAGATTTCATTATCTTACTAACGTGGGTTTAATGGCTTTTTTTCTTTCAAAATCATTGCTTTCGTGGCTCATTGAAACATATGTTATGGATTTAGAGTTTGTTTGTTATTGAGTTTAAAAAATAATTTTGAAAATTCTTGAAATTCTTTTTTTTTTCAATTTTTTTTATAATTTTGGATTGTTTTGATATAATGATCTTAAAAATAAATTTGAAAATAAAAAAATATTATTTTGATTTATTTTAAAAAAATTACTTTAAAAAATAAACTTTGTAATTCCTCTAATGGTTTGATATCTTATTTATGCTCATTTCAAGCTTTGGAATTTACTAATTTATAGATAAATAGTGATAGGAAAAGCTTTTGAAATTCAAGATTTCATTATCTTACTAATGTGGGTTTAATGGCTTTTTTCCTTTCAAAATTATTGGTTTCGTGGTTCATTGAAACATATGTTATCTATTTAGAGTTTCTTTGTTATTGAGTTTAAAAAATCATTTTGAGAATTCTTGAAATTCCTTTTTTATGATTTTGGTTTGTTTTCTTGTGATGAACTCAAAAATAAATTTGAAAATAAAAAAATTAGTAAAACAAAATATTTTTTATACTATTATGTTATTGTTTGTATTGATACAAAATTCCTTTAAAAATTCTATACAGACTTTTCTATTTTAAAATGATTTATTTTATTTTATAAATGCTAATGAAAACTCAATCCACTTTCATAAGTAATTTCAAGAGTTTTTGATATTAGAAAGTATTTTTTATTTCTTAAATGATAAATTCTATAAATTATGAAAAACACAAAATATGTTGGAATTATTACAAAAATCTTTGAGTTAAATTGTAAAATACCCCTAAAAAAAAAGGAACCTCTAGACTAAAAAGTTCCTGGTTTTGGCTCTGAACAATATAATTTTTTATTGTGCCTCTTCAATTTGGTTACTTCAGAAAAACTGTAAAACCACTCCCAATTCCTATCCTTTTCTCTACCAACCAACATATGAAAAAATGCTTACTCTGAGATTGAGAGGATTTTAAGTATTTTTCCATTAATTTCTCGATTAATTTTGAAGAGAAGGAACAAATTCTAAAAATCATATTGTTTGGAGGGTAAGATCATGGATTCTCTAGTTCAGGGTGTTTATTCCCCCCTCATGTTCAAAGGGGTATTTTACAATTTATATAGCCATATTTTTAGAGCTCTAAAAAGGTCATATGAATTTATACAGGTAATTTTAGTTCAATTTTGAAAGTTTTTTGTTTATGTAATTCCTAAAATTAACCTATTTCAAGTTTGGTTAGGTATTACATACTCGACCATATAATTATTTTCAGAATCACACTAAGACTAAGCTAGATTAGGTTTTTAAAATATTTATGAATGTGGTTCTCAAAATTTATTTAATTTATTAGCCCCAACAAGATTTTGGATCACTTCATATTATTTTCTATTTGTCTCGATATTTGTTTATTTAATGTTAAAGAAAAATTAAAGAAATGCTCCTTGACATCAAATTTACGAGAAAAATCCTTACTATAAGGATGGAATTGATGAGATGGAGTGAAGTTTTTATTTTAAATTATAATTTTATTGATCTGTAATCCCAGCTTCCATGCATCTTTCTAGAAGCAAGATTTTGATCGATTATGACAAAGGAACTTCATAATGTTGCAATATCAGTTCTTCACAATGCACCTCTGAACTAGCATAACTCATCAAAGCTCCCTCAATTAATTTCAAAACTGGTTATGGTTATGGTATATTTTTGTAAACTTGGGGTATTGAGAAAAATATAGTATAATCTAAAAATATAATGATATTTTTTTATTTTAATATTAAAATAATAATATATTATATAATATGCGGTCACTCAAGATAAATATCAAATATATTAATATAAATTAATCTAATATGTTAATATTTTAATATTAAAAAAATATTATTTAATACATTATTATATTATTATTTTTTAAAAATATCCAATATATATTATATTTTAATCTCATAATTAATTTTTTCAATTAAAAGCAAGAACCGAGTTAATGATTTAATTGTAAACTAGAAGAAGTTTAGAATAGAACAGTGTAGAGTGTTCCAGAAACAACCACACTGTTCTATTTTAAACTATAAACTTCTATTTTAAACATGTTACTCAAATAATCAAAAACCAAAAGAAAAAGATAAATTGATACTCTGTTATTTTTTGAATTAGAAAAACAAGGATAAGCAAGGTGAAGAAGAGAAAGAGAGGAGGTAGCGGTATCACCATGGGAGTGGATTACTACAAGATATTACAAGTTGATAAGACTGCTAAAGATGATGATTTGAAAAAAGCTTAGAGGAAATTAGCCATGAAGTGGCATCCTGATAAGAACCCAAATAACAAAAAAGAAGCCGAAGCAAAGTTCAAGCAAATTTCTGAAGCTTATGAGGTATGTACCTGCCTGCCTTTAACAGTTCAAGATTATATTTTGTGATCTGGGTTTGTTGTTAAACTGGATTATCTTGCTCAAATTTGTGAACTTTTATTAATTTATCGAAAAATGTTTTCCTTATTGGGATTTCATGGTTAAAATTCTTGGATTTGTAGTTTTTTGTGCTTTTTTTAACTGTTATCTTGAGGAACTCTCTGTTTCGTATTAGAAAATGTTCAAATTTGATGGCTTTTATTCATGTTGGATAAAATAAAGTTTCTAACTTTATTGGGATTTCATGGTTAAATTTCTGGGATTTTTAGTTTATTCTGTTCGTTACTATGATCATTATAATTATCTGGTTCTTATAAGTCAGCAACACCATAGTTTCAATCTTTAATGGCGTATATCAACATAGAAACTTTGGAGTTTTAGCTGGGATTTTCAGTCATTGATGTCAATGGGAATTTTCTCTGTAAAATTGGGATTACTAGTGAAGATTGTTTATTTGATTGATTTTGTATTGAAACTCAATGTTTTTTTATGCAGGTCCTTAGTGATCCACAAAAAAGAGCAGTGTACGACCAATATGGTGAAGAGGGTCTAAAGGGGCAAGTACCACCACCTGGTGCTGGTGGAGCTTCATTCTTCTCCACGGGAGATGGGCCTACAACATTTCGGTTCAATCCCCGCAACGCTGATGATATTTTTGCCGAATTTTTCGGGTCTTCGGGTCCATTTGGAGGGATGGGAGGTGGCAGTGGAGGCATGAGAGGGACAAGGTTCCCAGGTGGGATGTTTGGTGATGCTATCTTTAGTTCTTTTGGTGAAGGAGGTGGAGGTTCAATGCATCAAAGTGTTCCTAGAAAAGCTCCTCCAATTGAGAAAAGGCTGCTTTGTAGTCTTGAGGAGCTTTACAAGGGAGCTACCAAAAGAATGAAGATATCTAGGGACATTGTCGATGCAAGTGGGTAAGTATATATCTTCTTACATTAATTATCTTGCTATAGGTTTGTTTCTGAAGTATGGTTCCCTTTAGTTTGTGTGAATTTCTGCTAGGGGTTTCTGCCTATCAAATTGAGCATCAAGTTTTTCCCTTTTGATTTTCCACATGTAATTGCCTAATGGGAGGTGCTGGCTAGATCAAAGAATAAATGCATGTTGTTTTCGTGGATTTTACTTGCTGTCCATGATCATAACACAAGAGATTTGATCTCTGTTGTGAGCGATTCATGGGATTAGTTGCCAGATCAATTCACAATCTAGCTAAAGTCTTGGAGCTTTTTTGAATGATGTTTATGCGCAGAGCATTAGTTGCTAGATCATTTCACTAAACTTGCACTTTTCTTCTGGTGCAGCAAGACCATACAAGTGGAGGAGATTCTAACCATTGACATAAAGCCTGGTTGGAAGAAGGGCACAAAGATCACCTTTCCTGAGAAAGGGAATGAGCAGCCGAATTCAACACCAGCAGATCTAGTTTTCATTATTGATGAAAAACCTCACCCTGTGTTCACTCGTGATGGAAACGACTTGATTGTCACACAGAAGATTCCCTTAGCTGAAGCCTTGACGGGTTACACTGTCCATCTCACCACCTTAGATGGAAGGAATTTGACCATTCCGATTAACACCGTGATTCATCCAAACTATGAGGAGGTTGTCCCAAGGGAAGGGATGCCAATCCAAAAGGACCCAACAAAGAGAGGAAATCTGAGGATCAAGTTCAACATCAAGTTTCCATCAAGGTTAACTGCAGAGCAGAAGGCAGGAATCAAAAAACTCTTGGGCTGAGAACATCAATGCCAATATTTAATGTACAACAAATCTCCATAGAAATGGAGCAGTTTTGTAAATACAAATTACATAGAACGTAGTATTTTGATTGGTTCTTTTTTATACAGAACTTGTTATATATGCACCCAGTTTCTAATAGTTTCTGTTTCAGAGCAAGAATGCCATCTTTCTAAATACATCGATGTGCTTAAAGGTGTACTGAGGAACTTATCAGTTACAATTTCAATTAAAATTAGCTCTTGTTGATTTTTGTTGCATCCTTGTTTTCTGTCTCTTTAGTTCAGAACAGTGTGCCATCAACTTTATGCAAAGATGGTGAATATGAGTGGATTCCTACAAGAAGGCGACATGGTTAAAATCAGCTGTGCTAAACGGTCTTTTTTCTTTATTTCCCCTTTCAAGAACAAGAAACGTGCTATTACAAAACCATGGTGATTCCGCAAGATGCAGAATCTCACTCATGAAAAACCAAATCCACACAACCACCTTGTTTTGAGAGTAATGGAATCCAACCAACGTATATTTTCTTCAAATGAAAGAATTTTATTAATCAGAATCAACTTATTAAATAACGTGACAGTTTTCAGCGCATCGAGCTTAATAAAATCATCAATGATCAGTAATTGTTTTTACTTTTTGGAGATCAAGCATACGTAGCTTATTTGCTTTTGTTAGCATGTGTTTAGTGACTAAATGTTCCATTGATTCACTGTTACTTCCTTCAGTCCAAAGTAACATAAAAT